TAACTTTCACTGAAATCTAGGTTTTTAACTGTGCCAAGTTGTTGGGTCTCCTTTAAGAAAATGAAAAATTCATCCTACATGTACTTCTTTTGTCTTAGAAGACTTTATTATGTGACTGGAGACCAACCCAGAGCAAGAATGAGATCAGAACAGGTCATAACTTGGTTGTTGACTGAAAGCTTCCTTCTCTCTTAAATGTTGTAGGAAGATAAAAAGCTTGCCTATTTTTATCTGCATTTCATCACATTAAAAATACTATGAAAGAAAAAAATTTAAACACTAGTTAGTTCTATTCATGGTATTTCACCAAAGTTTAATTTATTCATAATGAAAGAGCTTTTTGTTTGTTTCATGAGAATGATCACATTTCCACTATTAGAATTTATAGCCAGGTAGTCTTGTCTGTGCTTTATACTTTACGATTATGAATCTCATCCCTAAAAATCTACTTTAAATTCTGTGTTCTTTCCTCTTTTGCGTTTATCAGTACTCTTTCTAGAAGACATTTTGACAGGTGATTAGAATTTAAAATAATAAATGACTGTCTTTGCTTACACCAAGGGAGCTCGACTATGAGACAGATACCTTATTAATTGCTGGACAAAGGTTATCATTGATAGCAGTATCCTAACAGGTCATTATGAGAATTTCTAGGGATCAGTTGGATTCCATTACTGTTAACTCTAGCAGGCATCAGTACCTTTTTAAAGCTGCTTGTGTGTGAAAACTGTGATGTGGAGAACTGAATTTTTAGTACAGGCTACAGGAGCTTAGTGGGCCTTGTAATAAAGAATTGTAATACAGGAGCTTAGTGGGCCTTGTAATAAACAGAGCCAAGGAGCTCTGTTTATGCTTTTGGTTGACGGTGTTAGTTTGACTTGATTGGTTTGTTTTCCTTATCTGAGAACTCATAAAAAGTTAATTCTAAATGTTCAGGAAAATTATCACTAGAGTGTAGGGTTGTCAGATTAGCACACAATGACAGGATGCCCACTGTATCTGAAATATTGCATGTGACATGTTGATACTTATTATTTGTTGTATACCTGAACTGAAAATTTAATTGAGCATCTAATATTTTTACCTTATAGTATAGTTTATCATCCAAACTAGAACACTTCTGATAGTGAAATGGGGCACTGTTAATAATTCTGCCAGGACAACAAGCCTAAACTGCACTGTCCTGGGAAAATTGCAAAATATGGTCAACCTAAGTATAAGGGGTTTGGAAAGAAGTTTTAATTATTGGTATTAAATTTTCATAATCAATTACATCTTTGTGTTAACTGGCAAGTTATACATCTTTATAAATGCAAAATGTATTATCATTTTTATGTTTAAAAAAAATCGATTGAGGGCCCAGCAGGTGACATGGAGGTTCAAGCAGCTGGGTCCCATGCGGTCAACTTCATGGTTTGAGACCCGGACCCAGCAGCTTGAAAGTCATGCTGAGCACATTTGCGTGCATACCCAAAATCCTGAGAGGAGAATGGAGAAGAGGGGATTGTGGTGTGACCATTCTCCCTGGGGAATGATTTCTTTCTTTCTTTCTCTCTCTCTCTCTCTCTCTCTCTCTGGCAAGCACACCCACCTTATAGCAAAAAACTTAAAACAACAACAAAAAAAAAAACGAATGTTTAAAACTATGGCAGCCTGGGACCAGCAGTTAGCATAATGGCTATGTCACTGGACTCCCATGTAGTCAACCGTGGTTCGCGTCCCGGACCCGGTGGCTTAAAACTCAGGCCAGGCACTTGTGTGTGCGTGCCCAAGACCCCGAGAGGAGAATGGAGGAGAAGGGATTGTGGCGTGGCCATCGTGATTTCTCGCTTTCTGCCTCTCTGTCTCTGTCTGTCTGGCGAGCGCACACGCCCTATAGCAAAACAAACAAACAAAAAAAACTATGGCAGCCTAATTGCTATTTCAGCCTTGATACTTGATTAAAGCTCTTCTACTAGCAGAAGGAAGCTACTAGTATATGATATTTTAATTTTGAAAAATAATTGTCTTTATATTATCTATGTGTACTTTACCTATTAACAATTAGAACCTTTTCAAATTGCCAGAAGGCCTATGTGGCTTACCAGAGAGAGAAAGGGAGAAAGCACCACCCAGAAGGGCAGAGTTATGCCACAATCCCTTCTCCTCCATTTCTCCATGTTATTGGAATTCAACCTGTGAATGGCTATATGGGGCCCAGCTCCCTTAACCACAAGGATATAGGGCCAGCCCCCAAGCAGTATAACTTAAGAGAAGAAATTCCATGTCTTGGGCTCACAGGTGGCATGGAGGTTAAGGCAGCTGAGTCTCACATGGCCAACTGCATGGTTCTAGTCTCAGACCCAGGATCTTGAAAATCACACCAGGAGAAGGGTTTTAGCATGACCATCCCCTTTTGGAAGAATGATTTCTCACTTTCTCCCAATACCCTCCACAAGCACATATGCCTGGTAGCAAAACTTAAAACATTTTTTAAAAAAAAGAAATTCCATGCCTTTTCTGTCTTTTATTTGCCTTAAGTCTCTCTTAACCTATTTAACTTTCGTTTTCTGGAATTTAGTAAATTACCTACCATTCATATTTAGCTTCGTCTTAATTGTATAGCCTTTTATCATCTTTTGTTCAACCTTTAATTAACTTCATTCTTCAAAATCATCTATAAATATTCGAATGCCCACTATATGCAAACCACTTGAAGTGTACTACATATAACATGGAAGAAAACCGGTTCATATCTCCAAAGAGCTTATAGTCCGATTTTATGGGAAGTTTCTCCACAGCTTTGTATATTTTAGTTTGGTCCTTTCTCTGTCTTCCTCGCCTCTTTTTATTTAAAGAAAATTGCTTGATTTTAAAAAAATTTTGGGACCAGCAGTTAGCGTAATGGCTATGTTGCTGGACTCTCATGTAGTCAACTGCAGTTCGCGTCCCGGACCCGGTGGCTTAAACTCACGCTGGGTGCGTGTGCGTGCGTGCTCAAGATCCTGAGAGGAGAATAGAGGAGAAGGGATTGCGGCGTGGCCATCCCCCCTGGGGGGTGGTTTCTCGCTTTCTGTCTCTCTGTCTCTGGCTGGCGAGCACACGTGCCTGAAAGCAAAAAAACCTCTCCCCCCCCAAAAAATATTATTCATAATATAGTGCATACATGCACTTGTGACAGAGAGAAAGGGAGAGAGAGAGAAGCACCCATCACAGGGTCTGGTCATGCAGCCGTCCCCTTCGTCCAGTCCCCCAGCCTTTCAGGTCTTGGGCACTCACATGTGTACCTGGAATATTTCTGTCTGACCAAGCTGAGGATTCAAACTGCAGTTGCCACGTGGGATCGAGCATCTCTTGAGCAGTACATTAGTGTTGTACTATGGCGCTGGCCCTTCTTCAGCTCTTAAATTGCTTTTAAAGTAGTATTATTAGTATTAAGAATAGATATACCATGGTTTTAAATAGGAATTTTATGTTTCTGTGTTGTTCCACATTGTGTTATCTGTTGTATCGATACACAGGTTTCTATATAAAATATGATTTGTGTCTATATTAATTCGGTATCTTAAAGAAATAGCTATAACTGCTAGATAATTTTTCAGTGTTGTATATTATAAAATGTATAAAAAGTCCAAGATACTAGAATTGCCTGTAACCTTTTAGCACTGTGTCATCCAAGATAAATTTTCCAGGTTGTTTCACCTTTTAACACTTAACAGGATTAATGTCAGATTTCTCTAAAGGAAAAGTTTTCCTTAGAAGTATTTCCTTGCTTTGATTGTTTTGAGTGTCAACACTTGTTTTACATAATAACATTAACTGTTTTTCGAAATACTTCACAGGCCAGCCCCATGGTGTGGTGGTTCAGCACTGTGCATTAGTAGTCAGATGCCACCTGCTGACTGCAGTTTGAATCCTAGCCCTGGCAGATGGAAAGACACTGTGGATGTGTGTTCATGCCCCAAATCCTGCCAGGATGGAGAAATGGAGGGAAAAGGATTGTGGTGTGACCTTGACCCATTGGGGTTCTCTCTCTCTCTCTCTCTCTCTCTCTCTCTCTGGCAAGTGTATGCACCCTCTGGCCATTGAAAAAAATTTAATTAAAAATAAATACATTTACTTCATATTGCCCTATTTTTATTTTCAATAGATTTAATTATGTTTGCTTTATATTCACAGGGTAGACAATGTTAAAATGCAAAAGCATATTTAATGCAAAGTCATTCCTGTCTCTCAGCTACCACTTCTTTTCACCCAGAGCAACAAGTTCTTTATGAGTATTTTGTATAATCCTTATAAGGATTTCATTTACAGATGATGACTTATATATTCTTTTTAGCTTTTCTTTTACACAGATAGAAACATATCATGCACAATGTTGTGTACTTTGCTTTTTACACATAACACTATGTCTTGGAGATTATTCTTTATCAAAATAAGCTTTTTTTAGCCTGTAATCTCCACTACTTGGGAGGCTGAGACAAGAGGATCCCAAATTCTAGGCCAATCTGAACAAGATAGTGAAAGAAGTGAGCATCTCTTAAAAAGGGGGGGGAGAATATATATCCATCTCTTGTGTATTATCTGTAAAAATACTTAATTTGACCCTAAAGAGATAGGAATAGACAATGAGGAGTAGTGAGGGTGAATTAGTGGTGGATCCATATCAGTTAAGCTGCTAACCACATTTTTAGAGGTTTATTTGTTTGTTTGCTATAGAGTGTGTGTACTTGTCAGAGAGACCGAAAATGAGAAATCACCCCGATGGCCACACTGCAATCCGTTCTCCTCCAGTCTCCTCTTGGGGTTTTGGGCACACAGACACACCAGCCTGGCGTGAGTTCCAGCCACGTAACCATTATGCCATCTGCTGGTCCCACTAAACAGTTTTTATATATGAAAAAAAATGACATTTATAAAAATGATATAGTGCTTTTATCTCCTTAGGGGAAATATTTGCTTGTCACCAAGTATAATTGCTATGCTAGAAATACATTTGTTTTGTGTACGTTTTCCTCCAGAGGTTTTATCGGCTATGGTTAGTGTGCTATTGGTGTATATACTCATGGGATTCCTCTTGTATGAAGCCGTACAGAGAACTATCCATATGAACTATGAAATAAATGGAGACATAATGCTCATCACCGCAGCCGTTGGAGTTGCAGTTAATGTAATGTAAGTGCTACTTTTTCACATCACCATTCGCAAGTACTCTGAATTTAGAGACTATCATCCATGCATTCAAGTAATACATAGTAGTTTTGTCATCGTTTTAAATCATATATTTTCCTTGTAAACATTAATAGAACACATTGAACAGTAAATTCCTCATTAGTTTTCTCAACTACACTGGAGTTTAGCTATCAGAAATTTATTTAGGACAAAGCTTTTCATTGTTTTAACTTTTAGAATATAGGTTGACTATCTCTTAAGCAAAATACTTGGGATCAAAAGTGTTTCCGAGTTTGGATTTTTTTTTCAAATTTTGAAATATTTGCATGCAAATAATGAGATATCTTGGGGATGGGACCCAAGTCTAAACATGAAATTTATGTGTTTCATGTACAACTTGTACATGTAGCCCTAAGATCATTTTATATAATATTTTTGTAGCCCAGCATTTTGACAGTGCCAGTCACATGAGATGAGGTGTGGAATGTTCTACTTGCAGTGTCATATCACTGCTCAAAATGTTTTGGATTTGGAACATTTCAGATTTTTGGATTAGGATGCTCAACCTGTACTTACATATTAACTAGATTTATCTTTTTAACTGCCATGTTGCTTCATTAGTGTCTGCCAAGTGACATTTTTTTCTGTAGCAAATACTTTTATCAATAACATTAGGGAAAATAATGTTTTCTTTTATTTTTTTTAACAGAATGGGGTTTCTATTGAACCAGTCTGGTCATCATCACTCCCATTCCCACTCCCTGCCTTCAAATTCTCCTACCACAGGTCCTGGGAGTGGACACAGCCGTGGGCAGGATAGCCTGGCAGTGAGAGCCGCGTTTGTGCACGCCCTGGGGGATCTGGTGCAAAGTGTTGGTGTGTTAATAGCTGCCTACATCATACGATTCAAGGTAATAGGATTGCTCATTTTTCCATTTTAAAAATGTATTTAATTTCAAAATGAGAAGTTGGTGTCTTTCATTAGGATACAGGCCACTAATGCCAGTTCTATTCATTTTGCATTGATATAAGATTAATTAGCCATCTGTACAGCTCTTTTGTTAGCAGTAAACACAGCGTATCATCTTGTGGAGTAACTCGTCTGTATTTGGCTTTGGCGGTGCTTTTTCACTGGAGAACTCAGTTTTAAGCTTTGTCACTGAACTGCTAGTTAGCAACATGTGCACTGAGCTAGAAACTCAGAGTTCTTGGCTCTGCTGTTAGCCTGGACCTTGAGCAAGTCCCTCAACTCTACACTTGAGTTCCTTCCTCTTTACTCTGAGGGTCCTAGACCAGAGAGCTACTAACGCTTCTTCCAGCTCTGATCCTGTGATTCTGGGAGGACGATTTAGAGAAAGCACAGAAGAGAATACTAGAAAAAGCAATTAAACTTCCGGAAAGTGGTCCCATGAGGAAAACCATTTAAACAATCTGGAAAATAGTGAAGATGATTTCTCCATTATGATATCCAAATTTAAAAGTATTTTCCAGTTCTTCTAAAGAAAGCCAAAGAACAGGGGACATGTGTGTTGCTTTGCTCTACAGTCTGTTTTATGTCCGTCTATATTTAATCATACAGCTTTGATATATTGCCTTTTAGCCAGAATACAAGATCGCTGATCCCATCTGTACATACGTATTTTCATTACTTGTGGCTTTTACAACATTTCGCATCATATGGGACACAGTAGTTATAATCCTGGAAGGTAAGTTTTCACTGATTTCTGCATCCTGAGTTTATGGCTTCTCTAAAGCAGACTGGGGTTCAGAGAGGACACTCTAGGAGCTATGTCTCTTGCTTTTGACTGATCCTCATTACGCTGTATACTGCTACCTTACATGTGTGCGACATACAGAGAGCAGTGCCCTCCCTCTGTCACCCACTTGACCGTCACACTTCCTGGGAATAGGAGGTAAGGCAAACGGGGCTAAATTATCTCCATTTGCAAACAGGCAAACTGAGGCTCTGAGGAATAGCATAAGTTGATGAAGGCCATGCTGGCACTAGGACAAGGATGACTGTTAGAGTGATTAGGTCTAGTCGATTGTTTTGTTTTGTTTTCATTTATTACCATTAAACTTGTGACTTTGTTGTATTTATGACAACCTCACCGTACTGATATTATATGTAAACATGAATATAAAAACTCCCAACAATAGGTTTATTATCATTGGATCATCCTCTGTTTTGGTTGTTGTTTACTTTACAAAGAAAAAAAATTTTTTTGGAGGGTTTTTTGTTTTTTAGTTTTTGTTTTTTTTTTGCTATAGGGCGCGTGTGCTTGCCAGAAAGACAGAAAGCTAGAAATCACCCCCCACGGGGGCTGGTCACGCCGCAATTTCTTCTCCTCCATTCTCCTCTCGGGAGCTTGGGCACACATGTACATGCACCCAGTGTGAGTTTAAGCCACCACTGGGTCCGGGACTCAAACCGTGGCCGACTACATGAGAGTCCAGCGACATAGCCATTACGCCAACTGCCGTTCCCTACAAAGAAAAATTTTTAAACTATGTTTTAAACTCTTGTATATATCCTAAATTTATAGTAAAAATGTGTATATTCATGGTTTGGTATTTTTGGTTTTGCTTTGTTTATGACATCATAGAGTGCGTGTGTTAGCCAGAGAGGAGAGATACAGAAAGAGGGAAAGTGAGAAACCACCCATAGGGATGTGGTGGGGAGAATGGCCAAGCCACAGCCTCTTCACTTCCATTCTCCTCTTGGAACTTTGGGCTCACACAGATACACACACACTCAGCATGATTTTCAAGCTGCCACGTCCAGGAATAGAACTACGGTCAGCCATGTAGGAGTCCAGTGCCTTAACTACCACACCACCTGCCAACCCTATGCATGGTTTATATTAAACCACTGGGTCATCGTAAAAGTAATGATGCATTTTTGCATAGCAAAATGTGTCATGACTTTCCCAATGACCTAATATTAGTATATCTTAAAGTGTTTATTTAAACTGAGTTTGACAAAACCATTTTTAAAGTGTCTTATCAGGGGATCAGCAAATATCATAATGGTTGCATTGCTGGACTCCTGTGAAATCAACTGTGGTTCGAGTCCCAGCCCCAGTAGCTTAAAACTCAGGCCAGGTGCTGTGTGTACATTCTCAAAATCCCAGGAGGAGAATGGAGAAGGGCTACTCCCCCTGGGGGGCAATTTCTCATTTCCTGTCTCTATCTCTGGCAAGCACACACACCTTATAGCAAAAAAAAAAAAAAAATAGCTTGTGCTCAGTATGGTCCAACTGCTCCATTCATGCAAGCAATGTTGGAAGCCATAGCTACTGATTTTTT